GACTCGAGAATCTTTTTATAAAACTCGAGAGATCGTTTTATAAAACTCGAGAATCGTTTTATAAAACTCGAGAGATCGTTTTATAAAACTCGAGAAATCGTTTTATAAGACTCGAGAAATCGTTTTATAAAACTCGAGAATTGTTTTATAAAACTCGAGAATCGTTTTATAAAACTCGAGAATCGTTTTATAAAACTCGAGAAATCATTTTATAAGACTCGAGAAATCGTTTTATAAGACTCGAGAAATCGTTTTATAAAAATTAAGAGATCGTTTTATAAAACTCGAGAATCGTTTTCTAAAATTCGAGAATCGTTTTATAAAACTCGAGAATCGTTTTATAAAACTCGAGAGATCGTTTTATAAAACTCGAGAAATCGTTTTATAAGACTCGAGAGATCGTTTTATAAAACTTGAGAGTTCGTTTTATAAAACTCGAGAATCGTTTTATAAAACTCGAAGAATCGTTTTATAAAACTCGAGAATCGTTTTATAAAAACTCGAAGAATCGTTTTATAAAACTCGAGAATCGTTTTATAAAACTCGAGAAATCGTTTTATAAAACTCGAAGAATCATTTTATAAAACCGCGAAAAACCGAAACCGCCGTAAAACGCGAACTAGTCATGACTAGTTCGCCTGCTGGCGAACTAAGCCAAGTTGGCTTAGTTCGCCAGCATGCGAACTAGAAGCTTTCCGACTAGTTCGCCTGCTGGTGAACTAAGCCGAGCTGGCTTAGTTCGCCAGCAGGCGAACTAGAAGCTTCCCGACTAGTTCGCCTGCTGGCGAACTAATCCAAGCTGACTTAGTTCGCCAGTAGGCGAACTAGAAGCTTCCCGACTAGTTCGCCTGCTGGTGAACTAAGCCAAGCTGGCTTAGTTCGTCGGTAGGCGGACTAGGAGCTTCTCGGATAGTTCGCCAACTGGCGAGCTGGACCGGACCGGCTCGGTTCGCCGTACGTCGAACCGACCATCCCGAGCCTCGATCTCCCGTATCCCCGATTTGAAACTTACGTCCTTCGACACGGTCGCGTTCTGAACCACGGTTGAAATGTCTCCCGCTTCGTCTCGATCCGACTTATCGTTCGAGTTTTACGATAAAAACCGTAAAACTCCGTTTTCTCGAAAAGAACTCGAAGAAATTGTATAAAACGGCAACGGTTAAACAAGACGCCAAACATCGCCTAAACTATACGATTTATTCGATATTTTTGGTTAAAATCGTAAAAAACGCATTTTTAATAAAAACGTCGAGTAAATCGTAAAAACGCGTTTTTAATAAAAATGTCGAGTAAATCGTAAAAGACAGAAACAATTAACCAAGAAACGAACGTAGCTAAACATTACGATTAACTCGAGGAATTTACTAAAAAATGGCATCGAATCAGGAAACAATTATGTACAAGGTCGAAAAACGGATTTATCGCAAAACGGCCCGGAAGGTCCTAAAATGCGATAAAAGCCCATCTCGCGATCTCAACAGAATCTAACCCGAAGATACGATAACGTTTTGACGATTTACTCGCAGAAGGAAAATAAATGTCAAGCTTGAAGATAAAAGGCAAGTTTGAAGATAAATAGAAGATTTCCGCGGAAGAAAATGAAGGATTGAGAAAAATGGAAGATTCCCGATACACTCAAATCCGAGCAAAATGGAAAGATCGAATCGCCAAGGCGAGGAGTATATAAGCAAGAGGCATAGGGCAGAAGCATGAGACACGAGTTTTCAGAGCTTTCACCACCAAACTTAGCATTTAGGCAATTTTCCGTTTTCTTTATCGAGTTGCGTCTCAATTAGGGTTTTAGTCTTAGATTGCTAGAACTAGGAATTTTGCCGACGGCTCACACAGCTAAGGCAACTCTCGGTGTAACCGTTCTTACGCGAATTCGGAATAAGAATCCTTCTTGCTTTCAATCTCGTTTTTATTTTTATATCTTTCAATTTATTCATATTAATCGCGTTCTTGGTTACTTGTCGTTGGCTTTCGCAGAGATCCGGTTCCTCTGGAAAATTAGGGTTTCCTAACTTTCCTTACTTTACGGAAATCGACAGGTGTGAATTTCGGTTCCCAGTAAACTGGATATCACGCTGCATGACCCGAGTTTAGCATACCTTCCGACTAATGGTCCGACTAATGGATGGAGGTAGCCAAATCGTTTGTTACTAGACTACCATGTAAACTGCATGACCGATTTAGCAATGAAAAAATATAGCATGTATGTTGATCAGTATTATACCCAACTTTAGAATTGTAATTGAGAAATGGTCAGTTCTACTATAATTTAGTATCTTTATACCTGGTTTTGGACAATCCATATGTCAAGAAAATTAAAGGATCAGGCATATCAACACATACACGCTTCTTCCAAAATCAGATACTATTGTAACGACGTTTTTTTAACAGAAAGGGTTAGTGGTTCAAAGAAATTGACTCAGTTGAAGCATTGCAGAATGATGGGCACGACAATGCTCTTTTAATTTCCTCCTTATGGGAAACGTATTGTTCAGTAAATAGTTCATAAGAAACATGTTTCATGTCAAATAATATTGGTTCGATGTTTGGATTGTCAAATTATTTTTGGCTTTACATTCTGTTGATGGATTCACAAGGTACTTATCAAGGTTCATATGAAACGAGAGAATATAGGAAGTGTAAACACACACATGTGTGGCTATGAAATCAACTACTTTGTTTTACTGAAAACATGATTCTTCAAATACAGAGAAACATATAAAATACTGAATGAGAACCACACAATACTAAACAAGAAACAACAAACAATACATAAGTTGTGATAGTCCAATCCATCGACATACAAACACAAATAAAATATTTCTAATTAGCTGAAATGATATCAGCCCAACCTTCTTTCTCTGCAGGCTGCTAGTTTGGTTGCTTGAATTTATTCTTCGCCGTAGATTTAAGAAGGCTATGGAAAAGGAGAAACATAGATATATTAATTTCAGTCCGTTATTCATTCATGGTGACAGTTCTAGTATAATATAAGCTTCTAAAAAAAATCAGGACATCACCTTTTTAATGAGTTGTGGTGCGTTTGTTTGGGGCAAAAGGTTTCATGACCCACTCTGGTTTGTATGAAACCAGTATGTATCCCATCGTCAATCCAAAGAAAACACCAGGTACGAATCCTATTGCAGCTGCTATCCAACTCAGCACCTCTATTTCATCTTCTTCTTCATCTTCTTCTGGATCTGGAGTTTCAGATTGTTGACATGTTGTCGTGTGGATACAACCACAAACTTCATCAAGTGAAGGACCATACAGTCCCGGGTTGTCCATGAAAGAAGAGCAAGGCTGCGTTAGAAACTGAGTTCCCCCTGGTAATATACCTATAAGCTGGTTATGAGAGAAGTTCATGTAGGAGAGGTACGATAGGTTCTCTAGCTCTTGCGGAATTTCTCCTGAAAGCTTGTTTTGTGAAACATCCAGTGACTCAAGCTCTCCCAAGTTTCCCATTGATGATGGGATGTGGCCAGTGAAACCATTGTTCGAAAAGTTGAGAATGTGAAGCTCTTTCAAGAAACCAGTGGACCTTGGAATATCTCCTTCAAATTTGTTCCCAGAAAAGTCGATTGCTGTGAAGATTTTTAAGATGCGTTCCAACGTCGTTTCTACACCTTTATTCACCATAACCACTGAATCAGAATAATAGCTTGTACCCATATACTTTTCTGCATATCTATCTTCATTTTTTTCAATGGTATACATCGCCGTCCAATTCACAAAGAAGTCTGATGACAAAGTTCCATTGAAGTGATTGTGGTTTATGTCGATGATTCGTAACTTAGAAAACGGAGTCTGCTGTATTGGTCCATGAAATGCGTTGGCGCGAAGGACAAGAACCTGTAGCTCCGACAGAGAACTTAACCAGAAAGGAAACACGTCACTGATATTGTTGCTTTCCACATTCAGAACTTGAAGAGAAAGGATACGGATGAATGATCTTGGAAGCTTCCCCGCCAGATGGTTATGACCGACATCAAGCGACACTAGACTTTGAGACATATTCTCTGGAATACCTCCCGTAAGATGATTTTGTCTAAGATTTAGAACCTCAAGAGTTTTACTGAAATTTCCCAGACAACTAGGGAATGAACCACTGAATTTGTTGTTAGACAAATCGAGAGTGGTTATAGAGTGCAGCTCACATATCAAACTAGGGATCTTGCCTGTGAAATTGTTGTTGGCGCCAAACAAGTAACTCAGAGATGTTTCTCGGACATAAGATAGCCCATGTTTCGTTGGACTTTCGAAACCAATCAATGTGTTGTTGGAAAGACTCACATATTCAAGAACTGGAAGCTCCCATAACCATCCAGGCACTTGACCTTTGATTTTGTTGTTGGAAATGTCTAGTCTCCTCATGTTGTGTTGTGTTCGTAAGAACTCTGGAAACTCGATGATACCGCATCCTGACAAGTTCAAATCACCTAACAACGGAAGATCTGACACCAGACTTCTGTTCTCAGTTGAAACATGGTTTCCGGAAAGATCCAGTGTATTAAGTGACTTGAAATATGGTAAGATTGCATTCAAGTCAATCATAGAGGTGGTGTTCAAATGACAGAGGGAAAGATAGGATAGGGACTTGAGATGAGAGAAGATGCTAAGGTCAACTGAGCCTTGAGTGTTGAGATGAGAAAGATCAAGTGTGCCAAGGTTGACTAACTTGGAGATGGATTGGGGGATTGATCCCATTAAGTTGTTGTAGCCAAGATCTAAATCTTCTATCTTAGATGATAAAGATATATTCCCAAGAGTGCCGTTGAGTTGGTTATTTGACAAATCAATAGAAGTCAAAAAAGGAATAGTAAAGAGAGAAGAAGGGATAAGTCCAGTAAAAGCGTTGTGTCCTACGTTAAAGACCTCCAAGTTGGAGAGTGAGCTCATGTTAGGTGGAAGCATGCCCGAGAATTTATTTCCGCTGAGTGATATGTAACTCAGCTTTGTTAGATTTAGTAGTTTAAGAGGAAAGTTACCATGAAGGATGTTGTTTCCAACATCTATGTCAGTGAGATTATTCGAACTGCCAAAATAAGATGAGATTTCACCAACGAAATTGTTTTGTGAGAGGTCGAGAACAGTGAGACGTGAAAGGTTTCCAAATGAAGATGGAAATTCACCGGAAAATTTGTTCTCGCAGAGGGAAAGAAAGGTGAGATGTGAAAGGTTTTCAAATGAAGATGGAATTTCACCAACAAAGTTGTTAGCACAAAGGATAAGTTCAGTGAGATTCAAAAGATTTCCAAGTGAAGATGGAATTTTACCAGTAAATTTGTTCCTAGAAAGGTTTAGACTGGTGAGCTTGGAGAGGTTTCCAAGTGAAGATGGGATTTCACCACTGAAATTATTAACTGAAATGTCAAGAGTGGTTAGCTTTGAAAGGTTTCCAAGTTGAGATGGAATATTATCACTGAAATTATTATTTGAAAGGTCGAGAGTTGTTAAAAAAGGAAGGCTTTGAAGCAGAAAGATAGTACTGTTGGAATTGAACTGACCATGGAGGCAACTGTCACTAAGATTCAGCTTGATCACATCCCCGAAACTGGCATCACACGTGATACCGTCCCAAGAACAACAATCGCTGTTATTCGACCATGACTTTATGGGTTGGTCAAGACAAGGCTTTTCATTCTGGAACTTGTTCTTGAAATCCAGAATCGCATCCCTTTGGTCAGAATCCGCAAACACATCTCGAGATAAGAAGAGAAAAGAAATAGTTACATAGAAAAGACTGATTGAGTTCTCAGAGCCTTTCATCTTCTTTATGTTTCTTTACTTTCGTATAGACTAAAAGTCCTTTCCAATCTCTCCATTTGGAATCTCCACCATATTTATTCTTCTCCAGTTTATGTTTCTTTATGTTTCCGTGTGACTGCTGCTTCAATTCTTAACATGTGTCTACATGATTCTGTTGGTAAGTGGTCCAAATTAATGACAGACAAACAATTGTATTATTCCAGACGACTAGTCAAAGTCTAGCATAATTGTATTCAGGTCAGACACGCAATTGTGTTTAAAATAACAAATGAATAATCCAGCCCTCTCCCCCAATTCTTTCATGCTCTGGCTTGATCGATCAAAAGATCCAGATTGGTTTAGAATGTAAGAAGCTCTGGTTGTTTAGTTTAAAACTACTCGAGTTCTGTCTCTTTCGCAGAAATAATAATTTTAATTATGTTATAAACTATATTGTGGATTGTCATAACCGAAACCTGAACCGGAACCAGAACGAGAACCGGAACCATACCAGACCGGCCCATTAAGGTTTTAGGTCGGCTAGTATTCTTATGTGCGATTAGGATTTGGTGTTTTTCTTATTCCATGTTGTATTAGGTTTTGTACTATTTCCTTTTCCTAGATGGTTTAGGTTTTTGTTTTTTTAGGATCTTGTAACTCCTATATAAGGGCACTTTATGTTATATGAATAAAGATATCTCGAATTCCCCTTTTATTCTTTGATTCACACAATGTTATCAGCACGAAACTCTAAAACCCTAAACTAAAAATCCCGACCACAAAACCCTAGATATCCCGGCGAGAATTTTTGATGGCGAGAACCATTGACGGCTAGAAACCCTAATCCCAGCATGAACCCTTGATCCTTGTTCGACGATCTCATCCTTGTTCGGACGACCAAATCTCAGTCCGTTTTAATCGACGATCTCATCCTTACTCGACCAATGATCTAAGCTCGACCAACGATCCCAATTCACGTTTGCGACCCGATCTTAGCAAGCTTTGGTACGTGATCTCCTCTTATTGGTGGTCCATTCATTCTGATTAAAGGTTAAAATAATTCTAAAATCCTGTGATTTAAAATCAGAACCCTAATGATTAAAATCAAAACCCTAATATTGAAATCAAGAAACCCTAAGCTAGGTTATCGGTTAGATTCTTTTAAAATTGTTTGATCACATAGAACCGGCATGCTAAGATTGCTAAATTCATGCTTGAAAATCAAATTGATTGTTTTGATTGATCCGAATATTTTGAAATGAAAACCGAATGTTAGGTTAATTGTCCACACACGATTTTAGCCTTGATTAAAACTCGACCAGCATATGTTAAAACCCTAATTTGCATGATTTGATTTTTATGATTCGTACTTGTTTGATTACTTTTGTTTTACGGTTTGCATGATACATATAGACTTAGTATGATAAGCTTACTCATACATATCTTGTTTGGTCGAATGAATTAGTTGCATCATAATACTAGTAAAATTAAACCGCATAGCCACTGAGAATCTGTGGCTATAGAGTATAAAAACCGTGGCAATATGAATGAAGCCACATTTCTATGTCGGAAAACTACCGTGGCTATAGCTTCGTGACTAAAAGAAAACCATGGCTTATCGTGGTTTAAAAGCCACGTTTTTGCCACTATTGTTTCGTGGCTTATTAAGCCACATGAAATTACATTAATAGAAAGTTTGTTTTACAAAAAGATTTAACATTAATAGTCTAATAATAATATGAAACAAAGAGACATGAGTTTTAAGAGACCAAAAGAGAGAGTTATGGTACAAAAGACCAAGTCTAAAAACATACATCTAGATGGCATTGTGTTGAGAAAAAGGCTGAGCCGAAGGGTCTTGAGGCTGAGGAGTAGGCGCTTGTTGCTGAGTGGATGCTTGTTGGACCAAAAGTGTTTGGAGTAGTTGATTGACTGCAGCTCTTGTTTCTGCCATATCCTCCTTCATAGTTGACATGTCCTCCTTCACAGCACCAACGTCAGCAGTGACGCTTTGCAAGCTTGTCTCAACACCACCCACACGCATCTCAATCTCCAGGTTACAGTCAAGAGAAGATGGGACTCTTGCAGATGGTGGATGTTCCCTATACTGGGCACTGTCGAGTCCATAGACATGCCCCCTCTTACTCTTAGCTCTCTGAGATTAAAAGGCAAAACATAGATTCAGTGAAAAACCAACTCCACAAACAACATTCTATGAACTTATCACTTCACTCCTAATTTCAACTCCACATCAACATTCTAAAATATTTTTTTATCTATTTACTCATAATTCCAACATTATAAACATTAAAATATTAAAACCATACACTTAATAATCACAAAACATAACCGACGGAAACATAACACAAACACAGAGAAAAATAGTGACATACCTTCAGATAAACTTGGTTTAGCAAGAGGCGAGAAGGACCTGAAGTTTCTGATGGACTTTGTGGTGATCCTTCAGTGTTAGAGAGCTGTGTTGCTTCAATCTCAGCTTGAGTAACCAGTTCTTCAGCACGATAGTCCACAAATGTCCCATCCTTGAGTGTGTGTGTCCTCCTGACAAGATCTGTGTAGGATGGAGGTTCACCATTCTAGACAGTTTGTAAAGACAGATAAATAAATTAGAGTTAGAGTAAAATATTTAAAATATAAATACAGAAGAATATTTAAAAGATAAAGACAGAGAATATACCATGATATATTCATGTCTTGCAAAACAACAAGGTCCTGCGTTATGCTTGTGTTCTCCTTTACCCACTGGGTCTGACTTGCGGCTTTTAGCATCTTTCTAGCTCTTCTTCTTGGCTGCGTCTGTCGCCCAATGAGTGTATTCCAGTCCTCATCGTTGATGTACTTTGGCTGCTTGTTCTTCCTCTTCTTGGTGCTAATCCTTTCACCATTGATGTCATGTCTCCTTCTTCCACATGGAATAAACCAAGTCATTAAACGGAGGTTCCCAGTAGTAATTTTGCTACAAAAGAAAAAATAATACAATTAGAGTTAAACAAAAGAAAAAAATTAGGGTTGAACAAAGAATAATACATGTGTAAATAACTTACCACAAATGTGTGCCACCATGATTCCCTCCTTTCTTCAAGAACACTTCTCCAACTCTTCCAAGATCCCATATAATATGCTTGCCATGTTGCACGAATGAAAGCGTTCACTGTTGGGTCAATAGAAAACCTACACAACAAACATCAGAGACAAAAATCGGAAACAAACAATATACCTAATGTACCTCACATCCTAAGTTGAACAAGAAGATAAATTACAATAATTTCAAAGCTTACCATAGAGCTCCACTGAGTTTATCCGGATTAAGATGCGGCTGGGATAGCCTAGCAGAGGAGTTGAACAGGGCATTCAGAGACATCTGCAGGTAACTATTTGATCAGGATGATGAAGAAGTACGGTTTAGAGCAACTCCCGTGGCACCAGGAGGCATTGGAGGAGAAGAAGTTATCCTTGGTACTCTTGTAGAGTTCATCTGTTCACAACCAAAGAAAAAATTAAAATAACTGAGACAGAGACAATTCGAATTGAAAAGACAGAGACAAACAAACAGAATTAAAGAGACAAAGATACAAACTAATAAAAAAAACAGAGAGACAAAAACTCCTACATAGACAGAGACAAAAACGAAGCAAAACCCAAAAGGAAAAGACACAGAGAGAAAAAGAATCAAGAAAAAGAGACAGATTAAATTTTGCGTTTTCTATTATGTTTCTGTCTCACAAATTAAATTGCGCTTCATATTTTTGTCAAAAAGGTCCAGCCCATGTGAAACTGTTATTTTGTTAATCCGCAGTGTTTCGTCGATTAAAGTGTTACACGGTCTTCGTGTGTCCTGCAATTAGCGGCGCAGAATAGGGTTTCATTATGATTGTCGGACTCAGTCATTAGATGGTTTGAGGTGCAGAAACCAGTGTGACAATTCCGTATGTTGGTCTTGATCAAGACCTTTCACCTTATTTCTATCAGTCGAAACAAGGTAACTTCCAGATCCTTCGCAATAAACATGTTGTTAACTCTTCCGGCCACGATCTACATTTAATATGTGTTAATCTTCTTAGAGACAGTATTTTCACAGTACAAATAATAGACATTAATTTACAAGAAATAATTGTATTCAATAATAAAATACAATCAATATGCAATAATCTAATTATGTATAGTGACCAAATTGTAAGAATTATATATTATAAGTTAGTCAGTAACATTTATTTCAAAAATTCTAATCAAAATAATGGGTAACTCATTTTCATATATAATAATATATAAGATTTAATAAACATGTATATGTATAAATAGTAACGATAGTTTTATATTACCTATTTATCTGTCATAAAATAGTTTTACTTATAACAAATAAATTATTTATTTATATCATATAAATCATTAGAAAATACATGAAACAAATATATAACTAAGAGAAAATAACTTTACTCCATGAATCTGATTGTAAATTTAAAAATCGATGTGACTTATTGGTATGGTTAAACTAAAATAAACATTAAGAGAGAAAATAAATAA